TGCAATTGCACTCATTTCTCCTTTCATAAATATTCATGACTCCTCCTAGAGCTTATTAAATATTTGTATTTGGCCATGCCACTCAGCATAAATTTCTGTTTCCTTTATCTCTCCCTTAAAGTGTCTGCTTCTGGCTTCTGGCTGGAGTCTATGCTTCCCAGCCTATTAAAAGGACTACCCTACAGGCTGCAACCCTTTACAGGAAGTAAATCTCTCACTGGGTACAGGCACTCATGCCTGTAATAGCAACATTTTGGGAAGCCAAAGTGGGTGGATCACCTGAGTTCAGGAGTTTGGGACCAGCCTGGCCAACATGGTGAAACCCTGTCTCTACTGAAAATACAAAAAATTAGCCAGGCTTGGCGATGGACATCTGTAATCCCAATTAATTGAGAGGCTGAGGAAGGAGAGCTGCTTGAACCCGGGAGGTGGAGGTTGCAGTGAGCCAAGATCACACCACTGTACTCAAGCCTGGGCAACAAGAGTGATACACCTTCTCAAAAAAATAAAAATAAATAAAAATGCAAAAAATGAAATCCCTCCTTTCCAAATTTATGAACCTCATCATTATTCAGTTGACAGTCTTACAAAGTTCAAAAGACCTTCCATGCTCTCCCACAGAAGTTCTAGAAATTGTCATTTTGTTAATTAGTTTTGATGCATGAGAACTTGTAATCAAATGAGTAGAAATATTGAAACTGTGGTTTACCAGTTACCTGTCTCTTAAGCCAATCAAGCAGATATTTAAAATTAACTATGAGAATATGTATGCCTGATTCATGGCTAAAATTTTAGGATGAAACCTATGAGATCTCTATTTGTGTTTTTTGCCTATTAATGTATGTTATGTATATGTGATATTTTCTTAACTCCAGATAGCAATGCAAAATTCATTTATAAAATCCTCTAAAAATGCTCTATTCTAACTTAGCTTGGAAAATAAATAAGCATTTATACGTAAATATTCCCCAAACTCCTAGAAATGTAGAAACTGATATAAATGTTTTTCAAGTTAACACAATTTACACAAAACATAGTTAAATAAGGTCAATTTAATATTTTTGGTGTAATAAAACAACTATGCCTTCAGAGTATCACTATTGAATATAAAACAAACATAAATTTCTATTCTCCTTAAGTTCTACTCAAATAAGCTAATATTATACTTACTAGATGCTTAAAATCTTAAAGCTTATAGATTGATTCTAATTAAGTTCTTATTCTTATTTAAAAAACATTATTTCAATAATTTTTTTATAGTAAATCTTCCTAATAATAGTTTCCAAAGTACCTTTGGTAATTTTTAACTTTAAAGTTAAGCTAACTAAAAGATTTGCATTAAATATCTAGATCATTTATGAATAAGATACAATACTAAAATATTAATTACTGAACATAACTAATTCAAATTTATATACTTTTGTCCCTTATTTTTATGGAGAGAATACAGATATTTTGGCCTGTTAATAAACTTTTTTTTTTTTTTTTGTCTGCAACACTGAGAAATTGTACTATGAGGAAACATCACTCTAGATGTTGGGAGATCATATACTCATACATTTTCTAATCTACTATAGAATGTTAATATATGACAATTGAAAATTTTCTACTTCCTAGTTTACTCTGGAAAATAAAGATTACTAAGTGTTAAAATATAATCTATACATAAATAAAATTAGTAGAAATAATAGAATAACTAGAAACTCTATGCAAAGTATGCAGGAAAAGTAGGGCAAGTTATGCAAATAAAGTAGGTTGTATTTTTTATAAGAAAAACTATACCAAATACACAAGTAAAAAGAGATATCTAACATTCCCTGTGTTATATTTGAATTGGTAAAATGTTATGTTTTCAGAAATTATATAAAATTCCTGGAAATTTGTCAATGTCCTCCTTATCCATGCTACGTGCTGGTATAGTGTTGAGTCATATTTTCAATTATTATTTTAAATGTCATATGCCACAGACAAAATTGAATATCCTTGTCAGTTGTGGTATAATGAACTCTCATCAGATCTTTTGTCATAGTCATTTCGTGCTCTTTGTCATTTAGATATTATTTAGCCCTGATGCTTGCCTAAAAGCTCCTGCAATCAGCTATGGATCAGAATGTTCATCTCCAACACGGGAGTCCCTCTGAGACTCAGAGAAAAGACTATGACAGGTACTCTGGCTACAGGCTTCTGATGATATTGCTCAAATAACTTTAAAACCATACACTTGACTCAGTGGAGCTGTCCAGAAGTCTAGTTGAGAAACTGATGGGTTCATGACACTGCTAACCCAAGATTCAGCAAGACTGGAATTGAGTACATGGCACTGAATAAACTGATGAAAATGATTATAATTTTATAGCTTCTTTTGAGCATTGCTGGTTCTTTAATGTTATAGTTTCTGGATTTAAGGAATCTCTTTCTCTTAAGCTAACTATAACTCACAACAATTTAGTAGATTACATTTATTTAAATAGAAATGAAGCATTTATTTTTTCCTCGACTGATTTCTCCAGAATTTTGAAATTCTTACTGAACACTCTTATTTTCATGACAATATAGTTGTTACCAGAAGTCCAATAAGAATCTGTTCACCTCAGAACAGGACATAATTGGAAGCTTTGTTTATATTATCAAGGCTTTTACTGGAATATCATATTTAGCAATAGTATACCTAAGATCAGTTATGACCAGCAATTTTAAGGAACTAAGGTTGATTTTTATGGACCCAATACTTACAAAGCAGTCTCAGAAAAGCCCTCCTGATACCTAGATTACAGGATTCACATCCTTACAGGTTAGTAAGAAAGGTCCTTTCCTTGCAGGCCCAGGAATTTGGGGATAGTTTGGGGACCTCAAGAAGAGAGGAATTCACTCAAAGCTATTAGGACTACAGCTGAAATTTGATAGTATGTTCTGGGCTTGGCTTTTAGCCTCAATAAGGCCTTTAAAACTCCAATCTGAGATTCTGTAGGAAAACTTGCAGCAAAGAAGCTTGAAAGCACCTATGTGGTCAGCTCCTGTTCTTGCTGCACTTACATAAATAATCAGGCAAAATCTAACAAAACTAGACTTATTTTTAAAACAAGAATAATCTTTGATTATCTATGATCAAAAATGATGGTTACTACAGAGAGAAATTTTATGTTTCAATGAAAAACTATAACTCAGCCAGGCATGGTGGCACATGCCTATAATTCCAGCACTTTGGGAGGCCAAGAGTTCAAGACCAGACTGGGCAACATGGCAAAACCCCATCTCTACTAAAAATACAAAGATTAGCTGGGCATGATGGCATGTGCCTGTGGTCCCAGCTAATCAGGATGCTGAGGAGGGAGGCTTGCTTGTACCCAGGAGATAGAGGGTGAAGTGAGCTGAGCTGGCACCACTGCACTCTAGCCTCTGCCATAGAGCTAGACCCTGTCTCAAAAAAAATTTTTTTTTAATAGGAAAACTATAGCCATTGTGGGATATCAGGTTCTAGTCTTGTTTCTTTTCTCTGGGCTATTTTTACCTCTTTGTAAACTGGATCCTGCCATCTGATGAATTTTGTCACAGGGTAATACATGTGGAACAAGCAGCCAAGTATTGTCTCCCCTATTAATGTATCTATTGTCAGATAATTTGAAGGCCTCCAACCCTGGAACAAAGAAGAGGAAGGTTTGGCCCCCAAAATGCATAACCAAATTGTAATACATTTATGCAATGGAATACTATTTTGCCATAGAAAGGAGCAAGCTATAAACTCACACGAAGACATGAGTGATCCTTCATGCACACTGCTAAGTGGAAGAACACAGTGTGAGGAGAATCCACACAGTGTGACCTCATTTAATGAGATTCTGGAGAAGGGAAACTACACAGATGGGAAGCCATTGGCTGCATGGGGTGGGGGTTTGAAGTGTTCCATATGATACTTAATAGTATATACTGGCCACTATCCATTTGTCAAAACATGCAGAATTTTACACCTAAATGGGTAAATCAAACTCTATTCAAATTAAATAATATTATTCAGGATGTGGAGTATCCCAGCAAAGAATCCATAATGTGAAAAATCATTTAACTATGTTACAAATTACAATGATTTGTATGTGGTTTGTCCCTGCAAAAACTCATATTCAAATTTGACCTCCAAGTTGGCAGTATGGGGAGGTGGGGCCTAGTGGAAGGTGTTTGGATTATGGAGATCTATCCCTCATGAATAGATTAATGCCCTCCCATGGTGGTGAGTTCTTTCTGCTCTCACAGGAATGGATTAATTCCTGCAAGAGTAGATAGTCAATAAGAGTCTTGCTTCATCTGCAAACAGAGACAACTTGACTTCCTCTCTTCATATTTAAATATCCTTTATTTCTTTCTCTTGCCTGATTGCCCTGGACAGAACTTCCAATACTATGTTGAATAGGAGTGGTAAGAGAGGGCATCCTTGTCTTGTACCAGTTTTCAAAAGAAATGCTTCCAGCTTTTGCCCATTCAATATGATTTTGGCTGTAGGTTTGTCATAAATAGTTCTTATTATTTTGAGATATGTTCCATGCAAAGACACACAAAGTCTCTAAACCAAGGGATGGAGGAAAATTTACAAAGCAAATAGAAAGCCAAAAAAAAGTAGGGGTCGCAATTCCTAATCTCTGACAAAACAGACTCGTGTGTGTGTGTGTGTGTGTGTGTGTGTGTGTGTGTGTGTCTGTGTGTGTAGACAAGCCAGAATGTGCTGATTTGGTGCCTGCGAAGTGTCACATACCATGTAAAAGTGATCTACACATAGCTTCATTTATTCCTCACACCACTGCTATAAGCTGGGCATAATCTGCATTTTACAGATAAAGAAACTGAAGAACAGAGAGGCTAGGTACTTTGCTCATAGTCACATGGCAAGGTTAGTGGCAGATAAAGGGCTCAAATTCAGGTTGACACTGTAGCTCAGCAATATTGCCTCAAAAAACCCAAACTGTGAACATAAAACAGTTCAAAACAAGCTTCATGTGGGCCATGAAAACAAGGCACACTTTCCAATCTGCCCCACTTTAAAAAGAAGAGTTTACAGGCAGAGCACAGGCCAGGCACAGTGGCTAATGCCTGTAATCCCAGCACTCTAGGAGCCCGAGGCAGTCAGATCATGAGTTCAAGAGATTGAAACCATCCTGGCCAACATTGTGAAACCCCATCTCTATTAAAAATACTTTTAAAAAAAATTAGCTGGGTGTGGTGGCCTGTGCCTGTATTCCCAGCTACTTAGGAGGCTGAGGCAGGAGAATTGCTTGAACCTGGGAGGTGGAGGTTGCAGTGAGCCAAGTTCACACCACTGCACTCCAGCGTGGCAACAGAGTGAGACTCTGTCGCAAAAACAAACAAACAAAAAAAAGCACAGCACACACAAAACACAACACTCAATGCTGGAGAGGATGTCCTTAAGTCCATCAATATCACCATACATTCTGTGCAATCAAGAAATTTACTTGGATGAGGGTGGGGTGGGCTCCCGTGTGTAATTCCAGCACTTTGGGAGGCCAACGCCAGTGGATTACCTGAGGTCAGGAGTCTGAGACCAGCCTGGTCAACATGGCCAAACCCCATTTATATCAGAAATAAAAAAAACTTGGCCTGGCATGGTGGCACACTCCTGTAATCCCAGCAACTCGAGAGGCTGAGGCAGAGAATCGCTTGAATCTGGGAGGGGGAGGTTGATGTGAGCTGACATTTTGCCACTGCACTCCAGCATGGGAGACACAGTGAGACTCCCTCTCAAAAAAAAAAAAAAAATGAGGAGGGGGCGCGCTGGGTGCAGTGACTCATACCTGTAATCTCAGTACTTTGGGAGGCCTATGTGGGTGGATCACCAGAGGTCAGGACTTCCAGACCAGCCTAGCCAACGAGAAGAAACCTAACCTAGTTTCTACTAAAAATACAAATATATAAATATATATATATATATATACACATGTACATGTGTATATATATTTTTTAGCCGGGCAGTGCCACCGCTATCCCATTCATCACCAATTTTTGTTGATGTCTCTTTCTCTTTTTCTTTTCTTTGGAGATGGAGTCTTGCTCTGTCGAGCCTCCCAGGCTGGAGTGCAGTGGTGTGATCTCAGCTCACTGCAACCTCTACCTCCTGGGTTTAAGCGATTCTTCTGCCTCAACCTCACAAGTAGCTGGGACTACAGGCATGCACCACAATGCCTGGCTAATTTTTGTATTTTTAGTAGGGATGGGGTTTCACCATGTTGGCCAGGATGGTCTCAAACTCCTGACCTCCAGTCATCCATTTTCCTTGGGCTCCCAAACTGCTAGGATTACAGGAGTAAGCCACCATGCCTGGTTTTTTCTTTTCTTTTCTTTTTTTTTTTTTTTTTCCGAGATGGGGTCTTCCTGTGTTTCCCAGGTAGGTCCTTAAGCAATCCTACCACCTTAGCCTCCTGAGTTGCTGAGATTATAGTTGAGTGTCACCTTGCCTGACACTAGAAGCATGATTTTGTCACCGCAGACCCCTCTCATTCCCTTTCATAGGAAGTCACTGAGCACCAGAGAAGCTTGAGCAAAGAACTAGGGATACCAATATTTGAACTCATTTCTGTTGGGTGCCAATTTTCTCTGTGCCTCCTTCTGAAAAAATTGGAGGTGGCAAGATACAGTGGCTCACACATATAATCCCAGCACTTTAGGAGACATAGGTGTGTGGATCACCTGAGGCCATTGCACTCCAGCCTGGACAACAAGAGTGAAACTCTGTCTCAAAAAAACAAAGAAAGAAAGAAAGAAAGACAGAGAGAGGGAGAGAAAGAAAGGGATAGAAAAAGAAAGGAAAGAAAGAAAAGGAAGAAAGAAAAAGAAAATCAGAGGCTTTGGTCCATTTGTCTACCACACTCTGGAGTAATTGTGTCCCTGCTTGAATGTGATCTCCTTGAGGCAAAGTCTGGGTCTCCTTACTCTTGCGTGCCCACCCTGGCCTGTCTGTCCCACACTAGCTGCTCAGTGAAGGCTGGCCCACGTAGAGTATGGGTTTGAGGCATCCCAGGACTTGGAGTTGCAGAAGATGTGAGTGAGAAGCCATGGAATGCTCTGCCCATCAGGAAATGTGTCTATCCTGGAGTTTAGCCAGGAAGCTGTGCTCCCTCCAATGCCAGTGCTCAGAGCTCCCCTACCCAGGGTGGAACCTTGGATGGCCAATTACGTTGGCTCAATATTTGCCTTCAGTAGCTGGTTGCATTGACTCCAGCCACTGTCGGATCTGTAATCCCAGCAATTTGAGAGGCTGAGGCAGAAGAATGGTTTGAGGCCAGGAGTTGAAGACCAGCTAGGCAACATAGAGAGACCCCATCTTTACAAAATATTTTAAAAGTAGCCAAGAAGCTGAGGTGTGAGGATTGCTTGAGTCCAGGAGTTTGAGGCTAGAGTGAGCTGATATCGTGCCACTGCACTCCAGCCTGCGTGGCAGAGCAAGGCCCTATCTCAAAAAAAAAAAAGTACCCAAAAACCAAAAAACAACAACAAAAATTTTTGCCTAGAAACTGAAGCCTAAGGAGGAGAATGGGGTGCCCATAATAACAAATGAGAAAACTGAGCTCAGGGTAGAAAGTGACCAAGAAATTGACTCGTGTGAAAAAGGCAAAGCTATTCATGTAGCATTTATTCACCCCTTCATTTGTCACCTAGTCTCCAGCATGGACTGACTATGCCCTCAGGCCCAACCCTGTGCTAGGGGAACAGCAGGGAATCAGGCCCAGCTCCTGCCTTAGGGAGCTCACGGTGGGCTGCAGGGAAGGAGTGAAAGCACTGAGGGACATGAGGATGTGCCTGGGGCAGTGGCACTGGGGTGTGGGCACCAGATTGGGTCCTCATGGCCTCAGCCTGGGTAACCCCTACAAACCTTAAAAGCAGGACCTGGGGTCAGGACTTTTGAGCAGGAGGATTCTTCAGGGAAGTGGATCCAGGGAGCCGACTGAGGGACTGGGAAGGTAAAGGAGGAGAGAGAAAAGCAAGAACGGGGTGTGCCACAGAGATGGCCACACTAAGGGCGACCAAGGCCTAACCCAAAGGGATTGTAACTGCCCAACAGGTTCATTTAGCCTGCTGCCTAGACAGAGCCGACTTATCAGGACATAGGATTTGCAATGGAGGAGTAATTCATGCAGAGCCAGTTATGTGGGAGACTGGAATTCGTTTTAAATTTAAGTTGTACTTTGTCACCCAGGCTGGAGTGCAGCGGCATGATCTCTACTCAATGCAACCTCTGCCTACCAGGTTCAAGAGACTCTCCTGCCTCAGCCTCCTGAGTAGCTGGGATTACAGGTGGGCACCACCATGCCCAGCTAATTTTTGTATTTTCTTTCTGAGATGGAGTTTCACTCTTGTTGCCCAGGCTGGAGTGAAATGGCACGACCTCTGCTTGCTGCAACCTCTGCCTCCTAGGTTCAAGTGATTCTCCTGCCTCAGTCTCCTGAGTAGCTGGATTACAGGCTTGTGCCACAACTGCCAGCTAATTTTGGATTTTTAGAAGAGACAGGGTTTCTCCATGTTGGTCAGGGTAGTCTTGAACTCCTGATACCAGGTGATCCACCCTCCTCGGCCTCCCTAAGTGCTGGGATTATAGGTGTGAGGCATCATGCCAGCCTGGAGTTTAACTATTATAAGTCAGTCTCCTAGAGCAGAAGATTCAGGGATTAGAGTTCTTGAGGATGACTTAGTGAGTGGAAGGGGCCAGCGAGTCAGGAATGATGATTGTTGGGTCGGAGATGAAGTCACAGGGACTGGAGGGTGTCCTCATGTTGAGTTAGTTCCTGGGTGGGGCCCACAAAATCAGATGTGCCAGCTTATCCCTCTGGGTCATGCCAGCTGTTCCATCGAGTGCAGGGTCTGCAAAATATCTCAAGCACTGATTTTACGTTTTACAGTAGTGATGTTATCCCCAGGAGCAATTTGGGAAGGGTTGGAATCTTGCAGCCTCCAGCTGCATGAATCCATTAGAAACCACAGTTTTTAATCTTTTGGCTGATTTGTTAGTTCTACAAAGGCAGTCTAGTCCCCAGGCAAGAAGGTGGTTTGTTTTAGGAAAGGGCTTACCATCTTTGTTTCAAATTGTAAACCATTAACTAAGTTCTTCCCAAACTTAGTTTGACCTATGCCCAGGAATAAACAAGGACAGCTTGGAGGTTAGAAACATGATGATGGAGTCAGTTAGGTCAAATCTCTTTCACGGTCTCACTTATAATTTTGCAGTGGCGATTTCAGAATTCCCAGGGACTCATCTAGAAATGTATTATTGGCCAGGTGGGATGGCTCACACCTGTAATCCCAGAACTTTGAGAGGCTGAGTCACAAGGATCACTTGAGGACAGAAGTTCGAGACCAGCCTAGGCCATATGGAGGCCCCAGCTTTTATATTTAAAAAAAAAAAAAAGAAAAAAAGAAATTGTATCATAATTGTCTGCCTGAGCAATGAATGGAAGAATCACTTAGACCCAGTTTCCTGTCTCCCATTGATTGATGGTTTCTCTTGAACAGGGCAGGATATGAGGGAAGCATGCTACCCAGAGGTAGCAGTGGGGTCAAGGAAAATGCTCCAGACTAGATATCTCAGCTGAACCTTCTCAAGTGTTTGGGGTGGAATGTGGTGGCTCAGGCCTGTGATCCCAGCACTTTTGGAGGTCGAGGTGAGTGCATCCCTGGAGGTCAGGAGTTTCAGATCAGCTTGGTCAACATGGCAAATCCCTGTCTCTACTAAAAACAGAAAAATTAGCTGGGGGTGGTGGTGCATGTTTGTAATCTCAGCTACTCGAGAGGCTGAGGCAGGAAAATTGCTTGAAATGGGGAAGTGGAGACTGCAGTGCACCCAATATCGCACCACTGCACTGCAGCCTGGGGGATCGGGGAGGGGAGTAACTCTGTCTCATAAATAAATAAATAAAATAAAGTAAAGTAAAGTAAAGTAAAGTAGGCTGGGCGCTGTGGCCTCACCCTTGTAATCCCAGAACTTTGGGAGGCAGAGGCAGGTGGATCATGAGGTCAGGAT